TAATCATCATAAATACTCCTGGGAAAGACACACTTTATTTCTTCTAGTTACTCAAAAGTGAAAAGGAGGAGCAAGAAATGTACAAAGAGTCTGTTAATTGCTACATAACAATACACTTTGTGAATTAGCCACAGTCTGCGCTTTGATTCCTGTGCCTACCAGACACACTGCAAATTTTGATAATGAGTTCTTGTTTTCCTAGCATTCTCTTTAAAATCTGTGGGTCAGATAGCCTTAGAAACTTAATAGTTTGTGGTGACATAACTAGACTTTAATCCCTACCCCCCATTCCCAAACCATGACCTTCTGCAAAAACAGTCACAGGGAAGGGGTATGAAGTTGTGCAGAGGTCAGTCCAGTCATGGAAGGAGCTGTTCAAGAAGCCAAGAAAGCCTGTTTTTCAGACAGTCTGTTATAGCCTAGCAGAAGTTAGGAGGGAAAGTGAGCTTGGACAAAGATGAGCCATGGTAACAGGAGAGTGCTAGTGGTGGCCTGGGAGTGGCCCCAGCAGGATGGGACAGCAGAGGACTTCAAGGGAATACATGAGATGGAGAGGGTGAAAGGGGAAGAACTTTGTTCTCTGGAGGTAGCATGCCTCACTGGATGTTGGCACACTGGGATAAAGCCCTCTTCATTCCATGCTGGTTGGAGAACTGATGGCTTTCCATTTCCTATGGGTAACATCTAAACACCTTAGCTTAGCATTTAAAGTCCTCCATAATTGGTCCCTTCCAACCTCTTCAACCTTATTTCAACCTCAACAATTATTCCCTACAATAGTTGTCAAAATATCCTATTCTTTGTTCCTTGAACATAGTGGCCTACCTCTAGTTAGCTATTCCTTCTGCCTGGCATGCTGTTCTCTCTTCTATCAACTTACCCAAATCCTACATTTCCTTCAAGGACAAGCTCTAAGTCCCATCTTCTCTATGAAAACTTTCTTGACTTCCCTAGCTTTCAGTGATTGTTCCTTCCTGGGAACTTCTGTACAACTAATGGGGTATACTTTTTACTTGCCACTTAAAATGTTCTGTCTTTTATTGTTAAATATTTTTGTCAGTATATGCTCTTGTCTGCAATGAGATTGTAGGCTCTTTGAAGGAAGAGGACATATGGGAAGCTTCTTTTGTGTCCTTTGGATCTGGTGTAATGCTCTCCCCGCAGAGTATACTTAGAAAAATGGTAGATGGTGATTGAGAAGCAGAGTCTAAGTTGAATCTGTTTTTGTATCCTAGCATTGGAACTTGTCCATGCTAATAAATGCTTAATAAATGCTTGTTGCACAAATGCTTGTTGAATAAAACAGTGATAATAATGGGTGATAATGACTGTACTGGAATTGGAATATGAGGAACATCAGAGATGGGAGTAAATCTGGAATAGAATTGGTGGAAAGAGGAAGAGCAACATCCCTTTTACAAAGTCAAAAATGGAGGGCAACAGGCTGACTGTATCTTACATTACTTTTGTGAGTCAGGCTTAGGTTGTTCAGATTGGCTCTCTATTCCACTCAGGAGTGGTAAGTAAGATATATAAAGTGTAAAGTGCATAGTGTAATCTGTGGCCCAGAGGCCCCTGGCTCTGGGTGAAATGGAGTGAGATTGATTTTGGAAGCTACACTCCAAAATTCTTATTTCTTTTACTCTTTATTATTTCCATATAGAATTTACTATGGTGAACTTCCAAGTATAGTTTGTGTATAGGTTATGTCTAGGTTTCTATAAATGTGTGTAAAACTAACTTTTGTATAACTACTCAAGGTAACACATGGTTTTGAGTATAAGACAGCCTACATTTCACCTATTGGAAATGCAGAAGCTTCTGGAGATTAGAAGGAATTCAAATGTAGAAATCACAAAGGGATTCTCCCGGACTCATCAAAAATATACACAATTCTCTTCATTCTCTAGAGGGTTCCACTTTTCCACAGGGTGCTGTAGAGTGACTCAGCACTGCCCTGTTGGTTTGGATTTTCCTACAAGATAGACAGAACTTGGGGTAACCATCAGGGCAACACCCTGACATGCTAGTGACTCCTTTCCTTGAGAGTCCTATACAGACTCCTACAAAGTTGTGTTGCTATGCCATGACTTTTATTTCCCTGGAAGTGAATCATGCTTTGGACAGATAAACCCTTTCCTATTAGCCCTACTTGGATAGTCCAAATCAAGCCAAAATATTTTGCTCTCCTCATGTCTTGGTTTTAGCTCCTTACTGCTCCTCCATTGAGGGCAGGTGGCACATGGATAATCCTATTCTCTCTTGAAGAGGTACACTGCACTGGACAATTCTCTTGTCCGGATAGGTCTTAAATAAGATATTAATGAAGTGCTTACAACAATTATCTGGAGAATAATACACTTTGAACAGGTAGGATTTATACCAGGAATGCAGGGCTGGTTCAATATTAATAAACCTATCAGCATTATTGACCATACCAACATCAACACTAACAGAAATCTTTTGATTATCTCAATAGATGGAGACAAAGCATTGGACAAAATATGACACCCTTTCTAATTCAAAACACTAGAGAGCACAGGAACACATGGAGTCTTCTTTAAAATGATAGAATCCATTAAAAACCATGAGGAAGCATTTTATGTAATGGAGATAAAGTGGAAGCATTTCTAAGAAGATTGGGGATGAATCAAGAACTTCCATTATCAACACCGTTATTCAATATTGTGTTAGAAATATTAGCTTTAGCAATTAGGGAAGAAAAAAAATGGAAAGAATTAGAATAGTCAATGAAGAAACAAAGCTATCACTCTTTGCAGATGACATGATGTTATATTTAGAGAATCATAGAGAATGAAGTAAAAAATTACCTGAAATAATAAATTTAGCAAAGTTGCAGGATATAAAATAAACATACATAAATCACAGGCATTTCTGTGTATTAAGAAAACCCAGCTGAAAGGAAATTTCTAAACTCAAATAAGATAGTAGTCTAGGGATATGGAGTGGCAGGTGAGGAAGACATAAATTGATTTTAAAAAAACAGGCTTAAATTCCTAAGGATGACTGTTGTTAGCTGGCTAGGTGTAGCAGAGCAGGGAGTATAGTCACAAAAGAGTTGTAAAAGTCCTGGGGCTGTGAACTGAAGAACGGGGGAGAAACCCCATAGAAGCTAAAGAGCATTAGATGGCAGTTCAGTGGCTGCCACTCAGTAGAGCCCCTTATGAGGGATCCAGATGGAAGTGATAATAGATGCATAATGAACCTCAGCTCTGTGGAAGAAGCAGCTCCCCTGATGATACCACCAAAGGATGTTGGTTGCTCTGTGATGGAACAAGCATCAGCAGTACAAATATGAGTTATTGTGATGATGCATCTTGTGAGTCCTGTTTCTTAGTGCCCTTTGTATAGCAGAATCTTCCTTGTCTCTTATTTTGCCATGCTATCTAATTAAATGTCCTTTGCTTTGGATGAAGGTAATCTCTGGTTGGTTTGTAATGTCATGAGATGTCATTTTGACTGGAGACTGACACACAATGTGTCTAGAACCTGGCTCATCTGCCAGGACATACATATGTGAGTAGAGACATAAGGATTCTCATTTGTCTCCTTTTCCCTCAGTTCTCATTTATCCCTGTTCTTTTTTAAATTTGTCCTTCATCCTCCCTTAACTCGCTTTCATTGGCTCTTTGTGTTTACAGACCCTCTTCCACTTTGCTCTCTTGATGTCCTCTCACTACTCCTTCTGTACCAGGCTTTCCTCTGGTTCATCCATTCCTTCTCCCAATTCCTGAAGTAGCTTCTCTGAAATATTAGCATAGAACCCTAGTGGGACTGAACCATTGTTTGAAAGTTGGAAGGGCTCTCAGAAATCAGATAGTAGAACCCCCTCATTGTACAGATGAGAGAACTAAGGCCTAGAGATGTTTAGAAGTGTAGTTTTTGGCAGAGCCAGGATTTGAATCCAGCCTTTCTGATTTCACAACCAGTATGCTTTGCATTGTGTTGTTTTGCTTCTCATTGTACTTATAGGGCAAAGTTAGCCCTGGGTAAAATAAAGCAGGAGAATTCTGTGCCTTCATTCCATGTCACCCCATCTCTCCTTCTCTTATCCAGTTATTCAAAAACTTTTCAATTACTTACCCCAAGCTTCTCAGAGTACCTCCCCTCCCCATTCCTGTACTTAACCTCATGGGATACTTTTTCTCTGAGTAGAAACCTGTCCCATATCTTTCCTTTTCCCTTCATAGAAATTCACCTATCCTGTTTTATACTCTCCCAGGGCTTTGCTACTGGCTGGCATCAAGAACAACTTAATGCCGACTTGTTAATTAATGCTATTCCTGTGAAAAAGATGGAGAAATATGGGTTGAATGATTGTGCAATTAGGGAGATTCAGAACTGATTGAATTGTGGGATCCAAACAGATAAAATAAGTGGTTCAATATTAACCCAACACCTACAAAATGGGACTTGATATACTAGTTACAGAGAGCAAAATATATGCGTGAATCCAAGGCATGAATGGATAACTAAGTATTTATATTATAGACAGGAGGATGTTTAATAGTTGGGGTGGAGGAAGGTAGTACATATGTGTATTACTAGAAGAACAGGAGTGGGAGTAGTTCTGGGCAAGCCTTATAGCTAGCCTTAAGGGAGGGAATCCAGATGGGCAGGGAACAAATATACATTGTGGGAGGATTCTTGAAAGGTGCCAGGATCAGTAGCCCATATCCAGATATTTCCTTGGCCCTGGCTCTGGTCAGGGACAGGCAAATCTGGGATAAACAAATCAAGACTGGGCTTAGGGAATGATCTATTTCAGATTTGCATCCATAAAAGGGGGTAGGATTCTTTTTCAATCCATATTAGGCACATATAGTGTCCTCCTGATCCTCCTCTGTTTCTTCCAGCTGGGTTCCTGTATAACATGAAGAGAGCTGCTGAATCCTTGGTGAGTCTGGCCTGCTATCTGATCACTTCTGGGTAAAGTGTTCTGAAGCATTTGAGTCTCAGCAGATGCTCAGTAGAGAAAAATGCCCACCCTATTCAATGTCTTCTTAATGATCTTCTTTCTCCTGGAGTCTATGGCAGCAATCCTAGGAAATGGTTTCATCATCACAGTGCTGGGCAGGGAGTGGGTGCGATGTTGGACCCTGTCCCCTGGTGACATGATCCTGGCCAGCCTGGGCATCTCCCGCTTCTTTCTCCATTGGGCAGCAGTTGTTGGTAACTTCTACAGATATTTCTCCTCAGGTGACAACAGTCTATATTTTGACATTTTCTGGAATTTCACTAATGTGACCACATTCTGGTTCACCACCTGGCTTGCTGTTTTCTACTGTGTGAAAATTTCTTTCTTCACTCACCCAATCTTCTTCTGGCTAAAATGGAGAATTTCCCGATGTGTCCCCTGGCTACTGTTGTGTTCCCTATTGATATCCAGTTTGATATTTATCCCATATCTTGTAAAGGACTATCTTGTTTTGTACTTGCCAGTTACTGGGAATTACTCAGGAAAGACCACTTTGGCTGATGGGACACATGTATTGCTGAAGTATTTTTACCTATCACTCCAAATGGTCATTTTGTTAGTTCCTTTCCTCTTCTTCCTTGCCTCCACCATCTTGGTTATTTCCTCCCTATGCCGACACTTGAGAAACATGCAGCACCACAGTGCTGGTCGTCAGGATCAGAGTATACAGGTCCACATTACAACCCTGAAGTCACTTTTCTACTTTCTCATCCTCTATACATCATATGTCCTGCCTCTGGTCATTAGCATCACGGCACCCATTTCATTTTGTACGTCTCAGCTTTGGGTTTGTCAGGTAGTCATATATGCTGGCATCTCCATCCATCCTGTCTTCCTGATCCTGAACACCTCAAAATTGAGAAAGGCTCTGAAGAAGATTCTTCATAACCCAGAGACTGCGTGAGGGGAATTAAGGTCTGACGTGAGCATGAGAATTAGCAAAGAAGGAAGAGAAGGAATTAGGGATGGAAGAAAAGAAGGAAATATAAACGTATACATACATACATACATATAATTTTATACACACACATACATACAATGGAGGTAATAGTATTTTCTCTTCCTACCTCAGGAGATGAGGCAGAGCAAAGCGCTTTGTCAACCTCAAAGTGGTAGACAAACAGGATTTCTTGCTATTCAATCCTCACCCTCTTTAGAAACTAGAGTGGCTCTCAAGTTCCTCTCACAGTCCAGCTGAAATGCCTCATGGGCTTCAGCTGACCACAACTCTGTACCCACTGACAGACACTAGCTTGTTGTCATTGGACTCACCTCAGGTGATTATACTCGAAAGACTTTTTCAGTCATGGCCTGACTTTTTTTTGTTGTTTTCCTATTCCTTTTAAAACTCAGCTGGAAACAGATCTTCTATTTCCAGTCCAATGTCAGTTCCTTGAAGGTACTAGTTTGTGTCTTTGGACCCCTAGAAGAAAGAACTGCAGATAAAGACCCAGCCTTTTTTTCAGGAAGTCCTGGATTCAAGTCTTACCCTAGACATGTTGGCTGCATGAGTCAGAGAATTGACAACCTCTCAGAGTCTGTATCCCAGAGATCATAGAAATGGGAAAATGATCCACATGTACAAAAATTTTTACAATGGCTCTTTTTGTGGTGGCCAAGAACTGGAAATTGAGGGGGTGGCATCAGTTGGGGAATGGTCAAAGAAGTTGTGATATATGAATGTAATGGAATACTACTGTGCTATAAGACATGATGACCAGGCAGACTTCAGAAAAACCTGGAAAGCCTTGTATGGAATGATGCTGAGTGAAGTGAGCAGAACCAGGAGAACACTGTACACAGTAACAGCCACATTGTGTGATGTCTAACTTTAATAGACTTGGCTCTTCTCAGCAATGCAAGGATCTAAGACAACTCCACAAGACTCATGATGGAAAATGCTGTCCACATTCAGAAAAAGAACTATGCAGTCTGAATGCATATTGAAACATATTATTTGCTTTCTCTCTCTCTCTCTTTTTTGTTTTTCTTTCTTGTGGTTTCTCCCAGTGGTTCTAATTCTTCTTTACAATGTGTGACTAATGTGAAACATTTGTGAATGTGAAACTTTACAAGTTACTAATGTGAAAATACATTTAATATGAATGTATATGTTGAGTCTATATCAATTTACATGACATAATGGGGTGACTAAAGGGGAGAGATGGAGAGAAAATTTGTAACTCAAAATCTTATGGGAGTAATTGTTGAAAACTAAAGTAAATAAATAAATTTATTAAAGTAATGATTATTAGTAATAATTAAAGTAATTAAAAAAGAAATGCTAAGATAGTTTTGTGATCTTATCCATTTGGGATTTCCCTCCAATAATGCAGGTCACGTTTTATTTATGCCTGTGTATTTCCTCTGATTTTGTCGATGGACTCTCATAAGTTCTTCACAGGGGGTATGTCCAATGTCATGAAGGAAGACCTTCTTCAACTTCTTCCAGCATTTTGAAGATACAGTGGAGTACGATGCCTGTTTATATGTTATTCTTTTCTTTTGCCAGGTTATGATAGGACCAGAATTTTAATCACCCAGCTTCCAGGACTTCCCTCCTCACGTCCTAAACCTAATTGTTTCTGGCTTCTTTGACATAGCTTCCTGGTCTGGGGGCTTGAAAAGATCCCAGCCAATGGAATCAGACTTGGTAGGTGCCTGCTACTATGTAAGTCTACATACCCACATGACTTACTGACCAGATGAAGTTTGCAGATGGAGAGGAGGATGACCATGGTCAGAGAAGCTAATATTCATGTTGTATATTCTTGCTCTGTTAGGCCAAGGTAAACCTGCTCCTTTATCAAGTGTTCAATGACTTTCAAGTACCTCAATTTGTCTCAACACTGAACTTGCATCAAATTTTGCCCTTCAGTTTTTCTTTAAAGTAAATGGTTTTGACTAAATCAGGGGTTCTTAACTCGGGGTCTATGAATTTTAAAAAATCTGTATTTTTTTTTTTTTGGATAACAATTTCAGTATAAGTGGTTTTCTCTGTAATCTTACATATTTTATTTTATTCATTTGAAACTTTATTCTCAAAAGAGGTCCATAAACTTCACCAGACTCCAAAAGGGATCAGACAAAAAGAGGGTTAAAAAAAGATGGTGTCTGAACTCCTTTGTGGCTGTATATTCCTGTGTCCCCTCCACGGCAGCTGATCTAATCTGTTTCTTACAATCCTGTATCAAGAAGCATCTTAAGATCACACTAGTTCTTTTGACTGCCCCATCATCTACTGACTCATGTTGAGTTTGCATCCACTAACACTGCACCCACCCTGCCTTTTTCATACCAATTGTTCCCTGGCCATTCCTCTTCTGGGCTTCTTCAGGCCACCCTTAATTAATATATTATACCATTAAAGTATATTATTACTCCCTTCATCTTCCTGGATGTTTTGTGGCTCTGACACCTGGAATGTTTCAAGTACCTTTCACACATTTATCTCTATTCTCATTTTGCTGAAGCAAATTTACTAGCTGGTTGTTATGGCTGGTTCTCTTCTTGGCTTCAATCCTGCAGGCCCTACTGAAGGGATGCCTGGCTTCTTCATGTTATTCTCTGTAAGAATCTCTGGGAAACTCCAATTGACTTCCTGTTAGAAGCTTGCCCTTCTTTCCAGGGCACTCCCTTTCCATGCCTCTTCTTTCTGGGTCAACTTGGATGCCTAGTTCATTTTCAAAACTGAGATTATTGACAGGTTTACTATTTGTGCTGTCTTCCTGGTTCATTCACCATTAGATAAAGGCCCATCCTGGAGGAGTGTTCATCTTTGAAAAAGAATAATTTGTACATATAGTCACAAAAAGGTAATTCTTCTTTCTCTTTCTCTTACCTACAATGACAGGACCTCACAAGCCCTATACTGTAAGTGCTGGCAGGTCATCTGGAGGAATAGTCATGCTTTTAGGGAGTAGGGTTGGGAGGCAGGTTGGCACAATGGAAGGAGTGCTAACTTGTAATAAATTAGAATTTTAGAAAAGTTAAATATGGTTGATTCTGGAGTAAACTGAATGAGGACAGAAAGTAATATATCTTTTTCTCAGCAGTACATGGAACCTACACAAAAACCGACCATATACTAGGGTATGAAAACCTCACAATGGAATGCAGAAATATTAAATGCATCCTTTTTAGATGATGATATAATAAAAATTACATGTCATAAAGGGCTATGGAAAGATAGACTAAAAATCATTTGGAAACTAGATAATGTAATCCTAAATAATGAATGGGTCAAACAAGAAATCATAGAAACAATCAATAACTTCATCCAAGAGAATGACAATAACCAGACAACATACCAAAAATTATAGGACACAGTGAAAGTGGTCCTTAGAGGCACTTTTATAGTTTTAAATGCTTACATGAATAAAACTGAGAAAGAAAAGATGAATGACTTGCACATGCAACTAAAAAAGCTAGAAAAGAAACAACTTGAAAATTACTAATTAAATACCAAATTAAAAATTCTGAAAACTAAAGGAGAGATTAATAAAATTGAAATTAAGAAAACTATTGAAAAAAACTATATCAAAACTAGTTGAACTAATAAATAAAACTAAGACCTGGTGGTATGAAAAAAAACTATATAATAGATGCACTTTGGTTAATTTGATTAAAAAAAAGAAAGAAAACCAATTTACCAGTATCAAAAATGAAAAGGGTGAATTCACCACCAATGAAGAGGAAATCAAAACAATAATTAGGAGTTATTTTGTCCAACTGTATGCCAATAAATTTGACAATCTTAGCAAAATGGATGAATATTTACAAAAATATAAATTTCCCACATTAATGGAAGAGTAAATAAAATACTTAACCCCATTTCAGAAAAAGAAATTGAACAAGCCGTCAATGAACTCCCTAAGAAAAAATCTCCAGGGCAGATGGATTTACAAGTGAATTCTATCAAACATTTAAAGGATAACCAATCCCAATACTATATAAACTATTTGGGAAAATAGGTGAAGAAAGAGTCCTATTAAATTTTTTTTTGTAATACAAATATGGTGCTGATACCTAAAGTGGGAAGAACCAAAACAGAGAAAGAAAATTATAGACCAATCTCCCTAATGAATAGAGATGCAAAAATCTTAAATAAAATATTAGCAAAGAGATTACAACAAATTATCTGGAGGATAATACACTTTGAGCAGGTAGGATTTATACCAGGAATACAGGGCTGGTTCAATATTAGGAAACCTATCAGCATAATTGACCACATCTACAACAAAACTAGTAGAAATCATGTGATTATCTCAATGGTTGGAGAAAAACATTTGACAAAATATGACATACTTTCCTATTAAAAACACTAGAGAGCATAGGAATGAATGGAGTCTTCCTCAAAATGATGGATAGGACTTCAAAAACCATCAGCAAGCATTATATGCAATGGGGCTAAGGTAAGAGCATTTCCAGTAAGATCGGGAGTGAAACAAGGATGTCCATTATCACCACTGTTATTCAATATTGTCCTGGAAACGTTAACTTTCACAATTAGAGAAGAAAAACAAAATGAAGGAATCAGAATAGGCAAAGAAGAAACAAAGCTATCACTCTTTGCAGATGACATCATGGTATATTTAGAGAATCCTAGAGATTCAAATAAAAAACTACTTGAAATAATAAATTCAGCAAAGTTGCAGGATATAAAAGAAACCCACACAAATCATTGATATTTCTATATATTACTAATAAAGCCCAGCTGAAAGGAAACTTCTAAACTCAGATGAGATTGTAGCCTAGGTTCATGGAGCGGCAGGTGAGGAAGAGATAGATTGAATTAAAACAAAAACAGGCTTAAATTCTTAAGGACTTCTATTCTTAACTGGCTAGGTGTAGCAGAGTAGGGAGTATAGTCACAAAAGAGTTGTAATAGTTTTGGGTCTGTGA